CATGATCTTGATCTAGCCGAAGAAAAGAGAGAGCAGGCCGCCATAAGAATGACTTCATATCGGAATCAGATGTCCCGAGCCTATAACAAGAATATAAACCCTCGGTCTTTCACACTTGGAAACATAATACTCAGGCGAGTATTAGGCTCGGCTAAGAACCCCTGCCTATGGGAAGCTCGGAGCAAACTGGGAGGGCCTATATAGAATAGTCAAAATTGGGGGTAGCAGGTATTACGAACTCGAAACCTTAGATCACAGGGCGGTACCGCGCCCCTAGAACATTGCGAACCTCAAAAAGTTCTATTTCTAAAAAGTACCTTTTTAAATAAAACTCTGAAGTGCCTTCGGAGGTTTAAGGGTGCCCCTTAACTGATGATATATCAGCAGCAAATGTATTAAGTTAAAAGTTATCAATAAAAATTCGAGAATTCTTTTTTCAACACTTGTTTTGCACTATTTACGTCCTACTGTTAAGGCAGAGAGACCAACAATCCTGATAGAAGTCAAAAGCTTAAATCAGGCGCAGCCACCCGATCAAACCCAGGCCCTCAGCTAGGCATGACAATGTAAGCTAATTAGGGATGGGTTTGAGTCTAATCAGATTGGCGGGTCGGTGCGGCGTAGAAACACCCTTAGACCTCAAGGGGACTCTGAGCAACTCTACTGAGAAACCGAGCTCTTTGAAAAAAGGGCCGAACAAGAGCCAAGATTTCAATGAGGCTTAGAAAGGGTCCTGATTAGGAACCGAGCTCTTTGAAAAGGGCCGAGCAAGGGCCAAAACTTCAAAGAGGCTCAAAACTTTTTCTAAGTATAAAAAAGGTTCCTGATTAGGAACCGAGCTCTTTGAAAAGGGCCGAGCAAGGGCCAAAACTTCAAAGAGGCTTGAAACTTTTTTCAAGTATAAAAAAAGTTCCTGATTAGGGACCGAGCTCTTCGAGAAAGGCCAAGCAAGGGCCAAGACTTCAAGGAGACTCAACTTTTTCTAAGTATAAAAAGGTTCCTACCTTTTTCGATAAGGGCCGAATAGAGGCCAAGACAGCAAAGAAGACTTAGATTTTCTCAAAACATTATCACAAACTACAAAAATTGAAAGGCCAAAGGGTGTTTTGCATTAATACTTCAAAAATTTTCTACAAAAGTCATGACCATTTGACAAGTACATCAGAAGTTGCACATACATCCGAAATTTCAAAGCTGATACATTAGAAATTTTAAAGCATTTTGAAAAGGCTACTAGGTGTCTGAAGGAGCAGGAGTATGAGAGGAGCTCGGAGCCGAATGCTTTGAAAATAGGTCAGAGGAAGGATCGACCTTGACAGTAGTTAAAGCGGCCTGCCAACCTCTGTTGAAGAACGCCTCTTGGAGCTGAGGGATCTGCAGAGCTAAGTCTTCCTCAACCTTCTCCATACCTTTATTGTATGCAGCATCCTCTCTCTCAGTCGCCCCAGTCTTAAATTGATCAAATTCCTCAAGAAGTGTAGAGTAGTCAAGCTGAGATTGAGTGAGCTCCACATTAATTTCATGTTCAAACTCCTTCAGCCTCCTCACCTTTTCTTGGAGCTTCAAGTTCTCTTAAGCTACGCTTTGGCTTTCGGCCTGCAGAACCTTCACCTCCTTGTAAAGTTTTTCATACTCTTCGTCAACACTCTTTTTTCGCTAAGGCAGAGGCTCGGGCATGGTTAGCGTCCTTCATTGCTTTATCCTTGCATGCAATCCGTGCTTCAACCTCATGAACCTTTTGCAGACCCTTGAAGAAGTAGGAAAAGACTTAAAAAAACTTTTCTAAAGCCGAAAAGAGCTGAAATAAGTGTTAGAGACAGGACTTACCAAAACCATGTGTTGAATGGCTTGGCAAGACACCTCGTCGCTAGTAAGGGCCTCGTTTATAGCCAAGTCTCAAGGCAAAATCACCCTAAGCGATTCCTACTGCGACGTTGAAATATTTGATTGTTGAATCCTTCGTAGTAATTTCTCTTCTTTTCGCCTTAAGGATTGGTCTGAAAAGAGGAGTTACAGTTTGGGGGGAGAGATTGGCTTCGACCTCGGCTATCTTTCTCTTCTTTTTGGGAGCAGGATCTTCGAAAAGTTCAAAAAGTGAATCATCTTGGGGAGAAGGGGAACGAACAGTATCAGAAGGGCCTAACTTAACAGGAATTGAAGTTTCAATAGTCTGAATTGCATTTGGAGGTACAATGGTTGACGGATCAATGTTATCAGGTTGGGAAGTTTCAACTGGGGCTTTACAAATGGGTTCTTCAAGAACGAAGGTCGGGACCTCGAAAATGTTTGGAGTTAGTTTGGTAGAAGGAGTTGGTTCGACATTTGATAAAAAATCGAGGAAATTCTTTAACCTGCGCCTAGTTGCAGCAAGAGACGATTTTTTCTTGGCTCTTGGTGTCTGAGCCCGAGCAGACTGGATCTCCTCCTGATCTGCAGCCGAAGGGGCATTGGGGCGGTTCGGCACAGTAATGAAAGAAGTGTAGGTTGGAGTGTACCCGAGCAGTGTGTGGGCAGCTCGGTAGAACAACGACTCGTTATAGTTCCAAACTTTCTGAAGTTGGTCCATCTTTACAGAGGACTCAACAATTCTTCCCTTCACAGTTTCACCTGTGTACAGGAAAACTCAATCAGTGGAATGAAAAATCAAAGTTAAAACAGAAGGCAAATGATATCAAATATCTGGCATGCCTTCTTCGTAGGGACAACGATAAGATGGGATGACACCAAGAGCATATTCCCAATTGCCATAGACAAATACCACATCATTTTCATGTCCCTTGTTTGAATCTGGAAGATGGGTTACCAAATACCTCTCCTTCTTCCTCACCGATAGATAGTAGCTATCTCCGACGACCTTGATGATGTAATAGTATAAGATCTCCCACAATCCAAGACTCAAGCCCAGAATCTTGTTCAAAGAAAACACCCCCATAATGATCTGCAAAAAGTTGAGACAGCATTGGAGAGGGCAAAGTTTTGTAGCAGATAGAACCCAGATAAGAAGAGGGTTAAGAGGAAAACGAATCCCACCCTCTGTTATTGCACGAGTAGAAATGGGGATTGATTCTCTTGTGCCAATCAATGACTCATCTTTTCCAGTGACTCTAACCTCGACGTCATCTAGAATGTTATACTTGGCTTTGAAAGCAGGGACTTCTGATGGAGTAAGAGGAGCCATGAAGAAGATGAAGTGTTGATGAAGTAGAACACTGAGAGAAGAGGATGAGAATCTGAAAGTCTGGTAGCAGAAAAGTAAAATGCGAAGGAAGACGGTTATAGAGAAGAAGGAATTTTAAAGGGCAACATTTAAATGTTTTGAATATGCTGCCAAAACGAAAAGGCAGGTTACAAAATACAAGTGATGATGAATTGATAAGAAAACGGCTGACAGCCGAAAAACGTGTGTCAGACGTTTTCTAGGGACAAATGATGGGGTTAAACCTCATGATTACACGTGATATAGCATTAAATGTGCTCATGTGATGTTGATAAGACCAGCCACGTGATAAAGGATCTTCTATTAAGAGCTTTCTAACCGAGCCGAACAAATCAATTCATTTGACAAACAAAGTAAGAATTAGGTTCTCTTGATGGCCGAACTCATCAGCCCGTCCAGCTAAGCAGGGAAAGAGCTCGGCTTATACCAAGCCGAGTTCGTTAAAGTGATCGGCAAAGCAATTGAAGAAATCAGTTTGTACCAAACTAAGCTTCTTGATTTGTTCGGCAAATTTCAAGTGTGCTCGGCGTTCGATATATCCGAGCTGTTCAAAACGATAGATGGAAAGTTAAATATTTGCCTAAAATCTAGGCAATCAGATAAACAAAATCGATGAGATTGAAGATATTAAGAGAAATTGTTGGAGAAGTATCAATAACTTCCCAAACTCAACTACTGAATTAAAGGAAGGTGTGCTACCTTGAACCTAAATTCATGGAAACCCTAAGGGGAGAATGATCTATAAAAAGCAGAAGAGACCAAGGTGAAAGGTGCACTGAATTCTCCTAGACTTAGCAAAATTCTTTCTGTTCTTTTACTGACTTAAGCATCGGAGTGCCTTCAATCGAAGCACTTCGATCTTGGGCAGTTTGTTCGTTTTGTAGGAAAGAGTTGAGGAGATTGTTCAGACTTCGTTCCCAGAAATCGCATCACAACTTCACATAGAGGTATAACCAATTTTTTGCCTCTACAAAAACTATTATTTCCAACAAAAGTTTGGTCCTGGTTAAACAATGTGTAAGAGTTAATGCATTGGTGCTAGCATTTTGGAAATAGGCGCATTTGAGTGTTGGTAGCTGGGGTTGATTGGTATGATGACATTGCCTGGTAAGTAAGCTGTTTATCACTAATTCCATATGTGAAGTCCCCCGAGGAATGATGCCCCTCGAGGAATGATGCCCCTCAAGAGAAACAAGAGTTTATATAGGTGGTGAAGTGGTTTGTAAGTGTGAAAACATATTAAGGATGCATAAATAGGACTGACATTTGTGATCGTTTTCAATAACTTGATTAATACAGTTACAGAAGCATTTCTCTCAGAATCACTCACTTAGTTTATACAAGCAATTGCTAAAGTTGGCTAAGTCAGACCTTTGGACAGGAACTGAGTACCACGGATTATGCATTTCTGAACAGTTATAGTAGCCTACAAGGTAGCTGTTTGGTAGCCTCTTGTATGAAATCCAGAAACTTTCTATTTTTGAGTGTTTCTTTTACTCTTAAAGAACAAACAACATATAGTTAGATTGATAGAGCATAAGATCATTACATTGCATTGTCATCAAAATAGAAGATTCAAACACTTTTGCCTTTTCTCATACTCGGGAATCAAGCTGATGTTGATGCCATTATGCTTGAAATTGATGGAACTCCAAATAAATCCAAATTGGGGGCAAATGCTACACTAGGAGTATCTCTTACCATGTGTATAGCTGGTGCATGAGCAAAGGGAGTACCTCTATACAAGCACATCCAAGAATTAGCAGGAACAGGGGAGCTTGTTATGCCAGTTCCAGCATTCAATGTGATAAATGGAGGCAGCCATGCTGGAAATAATTTGGCCATGCAAGAATTTATGATACTACCAGTTGAAGCAACTTCATTTTCCGAGGCACTCCGAATGGGTAGTGAAGGTTAGCAAACTGGTTCTTCTCTAATTGCAGTTCTTTATATCTTCTGATATGATCTACCCAACTTAAGTCGTCCTATCATTGGACTCCAATGTCAATTGCTGGTGGTACTAATAATCATGTGTTGTGCACTATATGCACAATGAACTTGGTTTTGCTGAGCTTTAGACTCGTACAATTCATATGCACTTTCCAGAGTCAGTTTTAATCAATGTTGTCCTCTCTCACAATGCTGATGGAGAGATAAGTAACCATCCTTGCTTTGTTGAAAACAGTCTATCACATACCGAAAGGAATTATCGAAGCTAAATATGGACAAGATGCATGCAATGTTGGAGATGAAGGGGGATTCGCTCCCAATGTCCAGGATAACAGGGAAGGATTATTATTGCTAATTGATGCAATTGAAAAGGCTGGTTACACAGGCAAGGTTGGAGGCATTGATTCTCTTTGTCCTTCATTGTTTGATTCTGTCTATCCCTCGGCATTTATGGTCTAGGAATCAATGATGCAGATCAAGATAGGAATGGATGTTGCAGCTTCGGAGTTTCTTACTGAAGACGGGAAATATAATCTCAATTTTAAGAAACAACCAAATGATGGTGCTCATGTGCTTGCAGCACAGAGTCTCTGTGATCTTTACAAGGAGTTTGTCAAAGATTTCCCTATCGTCTCAATTGAAGATCCTTTTGACCATGATGATTGGAGTTCATGGGCTTCACTGCAGTCCTCAGTTGATATCCAACTTGTAGGTGATGACTTATTGGTCACAAACCCGAAGAGAATAGCTGAAGCCATTCAAAAAAAAAAGCATGCAATGGGTTGTTACTGAAGGCAAGTACTCACGTCATTCCTTTCATTCTTTGACTGCCTCTTGTTATTCTTTCCCTGTTCCTTTGAGATATTTCCTTATCAGTTCTGAAGTTGTTGGTTTCTGAGGTTGGTTTCAGCTCTGATACATGATTTGTTGGACATATAGATATGTTTATATTTGTTGCTCGTGCTTTTGTAAAGAACAAAAGTAGCCACTTGGCTGACAGTCATATGGAAAAAATTGATTGAACTGCCCTTATTCTGAAAGTTGAAAACCCTTCACATTTCATTGTAAATAGTACTTGACTGAGAGTTTTCCTCGCGGCAAGAGTTCGAGTGACCAAAACAGTCTCTCTATATAAGATTCCAGTTTGACTCTTTTTTGGTCATTCTTTTATCGTACACACTCCCTGATTAATTAGCATATAGGTGAGGCCATGTTAATGCCACCCAGCTTATCTGCTTATGTGCCCTTGAAATTATTGCAGGTCAACCAAATTGGTACAGTAACTGAATCCATTCGAGCACCTCTCAATTCAAAAGCTGCTGGATGGGGTGTGATGGTTAGCCACCGTAGTGGTGAAACAGAGGATAACTTTATTGCAGATCTTTCTGTTGGCTTGGCCAGTGGACAGGTCAGTTGTAACCTTAAACTATGCTACATGTTATGATCATTTCTGTTGATATTTAGCGAACGATTGTTAGTTATTTCATGTAGATCAAGACGGTTGCTCCTTGCCGAAGTGAGCGTTTGACCAAGTACAATCAGGTAAAAAAAATCAAATCTTTCCTCTCTTTATAATGCAGAAATTCTGTTATGGCGTCCAGTAATATTCATTCCTACCTACCATTGAGTGANCTAGGCATGACAATGTAAGCTAATTAGGGATGGGTTTGAGTCTAATCAGATTGGCGGGTCGGTGCGGCGTAGAAACACCCTTAGACCTCAAGGGGACTCTGAGCAACTCTACTGAGAAACCGAGCTCTTTGAAAAAAGGGCCGAACAAGAGCCAAGATTTCAATGAGGCTTAGAAAGGGTCCTGATTAGGAACCGAGCTCTTTGAAAAGGGCCGAGCAAGGGCCAAAACTTCAAAGAGGCTCAAAACTTTTTCTAAGTATAAAAAAGGTTCCTGATTAGGAACCGAGCTCTTTGAAAAGGGCCGAGCAAGGGCCAAAACTTCAAAGAGGCTTGAAACTTTTTTCAAGTATAAAAAAAGTTCCTGATTAGGGACCGAGCTCTTCGAGAAAGGCCAAGCAAGGGCCAAGACTTCAAGGAGACTCAACTTTTTCTAAGTATAAAAAGGTTCCTACCTTTTTCGATAAGGGCCGAATAGAGGCCAAGACAGCAAAGAAGACTTAGATTTTCTCAAAACATTATCACAAACTACAAAAATTGAAAGGCCAAAGGGTGTTTTGCATTAATACTTCAAAAATTTTCTACAAAAGTCATGACCATTTGACAAGTACATCAGAAGTTGCACATACATCCGAAATTTCAAAGCTGATACATTAGAAATTTTAAAGCATTTTGAAAAGGCTACTAGGTGTCTGAAGGAGCAGGAGTATGAGAGGAGCTCGGAGCCGAATGCTTTGAAAATAGGTCAGAGGAAGGATCGACCTTGACAGTAGTTAAAGCGGCCTGCCAACCTCTGTTGAAGAACGCCTCTTGGAGCTGAGGGATCTGCAGAGCTAAGTCTTCCTCAACCTTCTCCATACCTTTATTGTATGCAGCATCCTCTCTCTCAGTCGCCCCAGTCTTAAATTGATCAAATTCCTCAAGAAGTGTAGAGTAGTCAAGCTGAGATTGAGTGAGCTCCACATTAATTTCATGTTCAAACTCCTTCAGCCTCCTCACCTTTTCTTGGAGCTTCAAGTTCTCTTAAGCTACGCTTTGGCTTTCGGCCTGCAGAACCTTCACCTCCTTGTAAAGTTTTTCATACTCTTCGTCAACACTCTTTTTTCGCTAAGGCAGAGGCTCGGGCATGGTTAGCGTCCTTCATTGCTTTATCCTTGCATGCAATCCGTGCTTCAACCTCATGAACCTTTTGCAGACCCTTGAAGAAGTAGGAAAAGACTTAAAAAAACTTTTCTAAAGCCGAAAAGAGCTGAAATAAGTGTTAGAGACAGGACTTACCAAAACCATGTGTTGAATGGCTTGGCAAGACACCTCGTCGCTAGTAAGGGCCTCGTTTATAGCCAAGTCTCAAGGCAAAATCACCCTAAGCGATTCCTACTGCGACGTTGAAATATTTGATTGTTGAATCCTTCGTAGTAATTTCTCTTCTTTTCGCCTTAAGGATTGGTCTGAAAAGAGGAGTTACAGTTTGGGGGGAGAGATTGGCTTCGACCTCGGCTATCTTTCTCTTCTTTTTGGGAGCAGGATCTTCGAAAAGTTCAAAAAGTGAATCATCTTGGGGAGAAGGGGAACGAACAGTATCAGAAGGGCCTAACTTAACAGGAATTGAAGTTTCAATAGTCTGAATTGCATTTGGAGGTACAATGGTTGACGGATCAATGTTATCAGGTTGGGAAGTTTCAACTGGGGCTTTACAAATGGGTTCTTCAAGAACGAAGGTCGGGACCTCGAAAATGTTTGGAGTTAGTTTGGTAGAAGGAGTTGGTTCGACATTTGATAAAAAATCGAGGAAATTCTTTAACCTGCGCCTAGTTGCAGCAAGAGACGATTTTTTCTTGGCTCTTGGTGTCTGAGCCCGAGCAGACTGGATCTCCTCCTGATCTGCAGCCGAAGGGGCATTGGGGCGGTTCGGCACAGTAATGAAAGAAGTGTAGGTTGGAGTGTACCCGAGCAGTGTGTGGGCAGCTCGGTAGAACAACGACTCGTTATAGTTCCAAACTTTCTGAAGTTGGTCCATCTTTACAGAGGACTCAACAATTCTTCCCTTCACAGTTTCACCTGTGTACAGGAAAACTCAATCAGTGGAATGAAAAATCAAAGTTAAAACAGAAGGCAAATGATATCAAATATCTGGCATGCCTTCTTCGTAGGGACAACGATAAGATGGGATGACACCAAGAGCATATTCCCAATTGCCATAGACAAATACCACATCATTTTCATGTCCCTTGTTTGAATCTGGAAGATGGGTTACCAAATACCTCTCCTTCTTCCTCACCGATAGATAGTAGCTATCTCCGACGACCTTGATGATGTAATAGTATAAGATCTCCCACAATCCAAGACTCAAGCCCAGAATCTTGTTCAAAGAAAACACCCCCATAATGATCTGCAAAAAGTTGAGACAGCATTGGAGAGGGCAAAGTTTTGTAGCAGATAGAACCCAGATAAGAAGAGGGTTAAGAGGAAAACGAATCCCACCCTCTGTTATTGCACGAGTAGAAATGGGGATTGATTCTCTTGTGCCAATCAATGACTCATCTTTTCCAGTGACTCTAACCTCGACGTCATCTAGAATGTTATACTTGGCTTTGAAAGCAGGGACTTCTGATGGAGTAAGAGGAGCCATGAAGAAGATGAAGTGTTGATGAAGTAGAACACTGAGAGAAGAGGATGAGAATCTGAAAGTCTGGTAGCAGAAAAGTAAAATGCGAAGGAAGACGGTTATAGAGAAGAAGGAATTTTAAAGGGCAACATTTAAATGTTTTGAATATGCTGCCAAAACGAAAAGGCAGGTTACAAAATACAAGTGATGATGAATTGATAAGAAAACGGCTGACAGCCGAAAAACGTGTGTCAGACGTTTTCTAGGGACAAATGATGGGGTTAAACCTCATGATTACACGTGATATAGCATTAAATGTGCTCATGTGATGTTGATAAGACCAGCCACGTGATAAAGGATCTTCTATTAAGAGCTTTCTAACCGAGCCGAACAAATCAATTCATTTGACAAACAAAGTAAGAATTAGGTTCTCTTGATGGCCGAACTCATCAGCCCGTCCAGCTAAGCAGGGAAAGAGCTCGGCTTATACCAAGCCGAGTTCGTTAAAGTGATCGGCAAAGCAATTGAAGAAATCAGTTTGTACCAAACTAAGCTTCTTGATTTGTTCGGCAAATTTCAAGTGTGCTCGGCGTTCGATATATCCGAGCTGTTCAAAACGATAGATGGAAAGTTAAATATTTGCCTAAAATCTAGGCAATCAGATAAACAAAATCGATGAGATTGAAGATATTAAGAGAAATTGTTGGAGAAGTATCAATAACTTCCCAAACTCAACTACTGAATTAAAGGAAGGTGTGCTACCTTGAACCTAAATTCATGGAAACCCTAAGGGGAGAATGATCTATAAAAAGCAGAAGAGACCAAGGTGAAAGGTGCACTGAATTCTCCTAGACTTAGCAAAATTCTTTCTGTTCTTTTACTGACTTAAGCATCGGAGTGCCTTCAATCGAAGCACTTCGATCTTGGGCAGTTTGTTCGTTTTGTAGGAAAGAGTTGAGGAGATTGTTCAGACTTCGTTCCCAGAAATCGCATCACAACTTCACATAGAGGTATAACCAATTTTTTGCCTCTACAAAAACTATTATTTCCAACAAAAGTTTGGTCCTGGTTAAACAATGTGTAAGAGTTAATGCATTGGTGCTAGCATTTTGGAAATAGGCGCATTTGAGTGTTGGTAGCTGGGGTTGATTGGTATGATGACATTGCCTGGTAAGTAAGCTGTTTATCACTAATTCCATATGTGAAGTCCCCCGAGGAATGATGCCCCTCGAGGAATGATGCCCCTCAAGAGAAACAAGAGTTTATATAGGTGGTGAAGTGGTTTGTAAGTGTGAAAACATATTAAGGATGCATAAATAGGACTGACATTTGTGATCGTTTTCAATAACTTGATTAATACAGTTACAGAAGCATTTCTCTCAGAATCACTCACTTAGTTTATACAAGCAATTGCTAAAGTTGGCTAAGTCAGACCTTTGGACAGGAACTGAGTACCACGGATTATGCATTTCTGAACAGTTATAGTAGCCTACAAGGTAGCTGTTTGGTAGCCTCTTGTATGAAATCCAGAAACTTTCTATTTTTGAGTGTTTCTTTTACTCTTAAAGAACAAACAACATATAGTTAGATTGATAGAGCATAAGATCATTACATTGCATTGTCATCAAAATAGAAGATTCAAACACTTTTGCCTTTTCTCATACTCGGGAATCAAGCTGATGTTGATGCCATTATGCTTGAAATTGATGGAACTCCAAATAAATCCAAATTGGGGGCAAATGCTACACTAGGAGTATCTCTTACCATGTGTATAGCTGGTGCATGAGCAAAGGGAGTACCTCTATACAAGCACATCCAAGAATTAGCAGGAACAGGGGAGCTTGTTATGCCAGTTCCAGCATTCAATGTGATAAATGGAGGCAGCCATGCTGGAAATAATTTGGCCATGCAAGAATTTATGATACTACCAGTTGAAGCAACTTCATTTTCCGAGGCACTCCGAATGGGTAGTGAAGGTTAGCAAACTGGTTCTTCTCTAATTGCAGTTCTTTATATCTTCTGATATGATCTACCCAACTTAAGTCGTCCTATCATTGGACTCCAATGTCAATTGCTGGTGGTACTAATAATCATGTGTTGTGCACTATATGCACAATGAACTTGGTTTTGCTGAGCTTTAGACTCGTACAATTCATATGCACTTTCCAGAGTCAGTTTTAATCAATGTTGTCCTCTCTCACAATGCTGATGGAGAGATAAGTAACCATCCTTGCTTTGTTGAAAACAGTCTATCACATACCGAAAGGAATTATCGAAGCTAAATATGGACAAGATGCATGCAATGTTGGAGATGAAGGGGGATTCGCTCCCAATGTCCAGGATAACAGGGAAGGATTATTATTGCTAATTGATGCAATTGAAAAGGCTGGTTACACAGGCAAGGTTGGAGGCATTGATTCTCTTTGTCCTTCATTGTTTGATTCTGTCTATCCCTCGGCATTTATGGTCTAGGAATCAATGATGCAGATCAAGATAGGAATGGATGTTGCAGCTTCGGAGTTTCTTACTGAAGACGGGAAATATAATCTCAATTTTAAGAAACAACCAAATGATGGTGCTCATGTGCTTGCAGCACAGAGTCTCTGTGATCTTTACAAGGAGTTTGTCAAAGATTTCCCTATCGTCTCAATTGAAGATCCTTTTGACCATGATGATTGGAGTTCATGGGCTTCACTGCAGTCCTCAGTTGATATCCAACTTGTAGGTGATGACTTATTGGTCACAAACCCGAAGAGAATAGCTGAAGCCATTCAAAAAAAAAAGCATGCAATGGGTTGTTACTGAAGGCAAGTACTCACGTCATTCCTTTCATTCTTTGACTGCCTCTTGTTATTCTTTCCCTGTTCCTTTGAGATATTTCCTTATCAGTTCTGAAGTTGTTGGTTTCTGAGGTTGGTTTCAGCTCTGATACATGATTTGTTGGACATATAGATATGTTTATATTTGTTGCTCGTGCTTTTGTAAAGAACAAAAGTAGCCACTTGGCTGACAGTCATATGGAAAAAATTGATTGAACTGCCCTTATTCTGAAAGTTGAAAACCCTTCACATTTCATTGTAAATAGTACTTGACTGAGAGTTTTCCTCGCGGCAAGAGTTCGAGTGACCAAAACAGTCTCTCTATATAAGATTCCAGTTTGACTCTTTTTTGGTCATTCTTTTATCGTACACACTCCCTGATTAATTAGCATATAGGTGAGGCCATGTTAATGCCACCCAGCTTATCTGCTTATGTGCCCTTGAAATTATTGCAGGTCAACCAAATTGGTACAGTAACTGAATCCATTCGAGCACCTCTCAATTCAAAAGCTGCTGGATGGGGTGTGATGGTTAGCCACCGTAGTGGTGAAACAGAGGATAACTTTATTGCAGATCTTTCTGTTGGCTTGGCCAGTGGACAGGTCAGTTGTAACCTTAAACTATGCTACATGTTATGATCATTTCTGTTGATATTTAGCGAACGATTGTTAGTTATTTCATGTAGATCAAGACGGTTGCTCCTTGCCGAAGTGAGCGTTTGACCAAGTACAATCAGGTAAAAAAAATCAAATCTTTCCTCTCTTTATAATGCAGAAATTCTGTTATGGCGTCCAGTAATATTCATTCCTACCTACCATTGAGTGACTAACGTCATCAAGTAATGGGTCTTAATTAGGTTGCCGCTTCTGCGAATTGAAGAGGAACTTGGAAATGTTCCTTATGCTGGTGAAGCTTTCAGGTCACCTTAGGAAGAGAGCAAGATTAACTTCTTTCAAGCTAGAATAACAAGTACTGGATCGGATTCAGCGTCTGCAAATCTCTCAATCTTACTCCAACGTGGTTCTAGGTAAGATGTAAAGAAGTTTTTTGTAAACTCAATCGGATTAATGACATTTAAAAACAAAGAAATCTATTCCTGATTATCGGGTCAAGTGGATCTATCATACATCAGCAGATGACACTGCTATGTTTGTAATTTGTGTTTCGCCTTACTGGAATATTCTCGTACGACCCTGATTAAAGACTGAAGTCTTGATACATTGTGCTTCTTTTCAATACATCTCATCTTTGGTGATGTATAGCCAAGATCGTGGTTCTTCACAACTAGAATGTTGGTTGATCAATCAATGCAGAATCTATAAAAGAAACTATAACCCAGGAATCATTTTACCATTTGCTATTTCTCCAAGAAGAGCAAGATCAATGAATGAATGAAACACCCTTGTATTGGAGAAGCTGTTTGTTGTCCTCAAAACAGTCAAAAACATGGCCGGACAAATGACACCCCATCTTTGGGACTTCGAATCCAGCAAGGGTCTGAGGAATCTCTCTGTTGTTATGGATGTTAATTTGGAGAAATGTGTCTGTGTATTACTAAAAAATTGGAAGTTGTGGATCATGAACACAGATGGAGGTTGTGGAGATGTTTCCTTAAACTCGTCTGCAATTAACAAGAACATATACAAAAGGAACGACTTCCTTTACCATCTATTGTAACGAGCAGTCTTTTAGAGAATTTCTTTTTTAATGCAATTTCTCGGTTTTTGGGTAATCTCGCAAGGTTAACTCTCTCGTGGTTCAATTTGCACTCATTCTTTTGCTTCCCTCAAGCCTATGGGGGCATCCCTATTAGACCCAGAAAGACTATAGCTGAAAATTCTCTACCATTCTCTCCCAAAACTCAAGAATTTCAGTGGAAGCTCACTGAGGATCATATATTCTGAAAGATGACCCCCTCCATTGCAGGTGGCCTGTACCCAGACCATGAAAATCACAGAGCTACAAAACAACAAACGACCATAACCCCACCGACAAGAAGAAAGGACTGTATTGCTTCAGTATCTCCAGATAATGGATCATCAAGCCTTTCTCTGCCCTCCCGGCCAAAAACTCATCATAGATATCCATAAATTTATCTACTGGGTCATTCTCAGTAAATGAATTCTACCAGGCCGGTTTCTTACAGGCAAGAACTGTATGAATGCTTACCTTTTGCCTCATGAAGAAAGTTTCTATACCAAACAAAGGGATTCCATTAGGAAAAAAAACACCATGCAGATTCACAATGATCTTGGGTTGCACACTTGAAAGGGATGTCCTATGACATGGTTCTTCATTCTCCTCAACCAGCCATGAGGGTACCCTAATTCTCTTCTCCCACGTGCAGAAATTGATGATAATTGCCACGCATTGTCTTTTTTCTGCACTGGAACACCTGATTCTATGACTACCATTTTCCTTTGTGGCAGAACCTCCTTGTGACCTCTCCGTAATGCTTCCTTTATTTGGGTCACCATTTACTGGGGCTTGGCAGAAGCCAGAGAAGATCCCGCCATAATGGACCTCATTTTTGCTGTCACTAAGAACAAGGGAAGTTCAGGGAAATAAAATGCATAACATAACTACTGGATATAAGAAGAGACCATTCTACGCTTACCATTTTTCCTGAGTTTGGATTTGAGAAGTGGGTTCTTAGGACCATAAGGGTCGCACAATTATATGGTTGGTGAAAAGAGAACTACATTTGTCATGTATTGTAATGTGAGTATTTGGATCAAAGTAGACAAATAATAATAATAATAATAATATGCAATAACCAAAAGCGTTGGTATAATAATAATAATAATCTGCAATAACCAAAAGCGTTGGTACATTATTGGAGCTGGCCTATCAGATCACGGGGAAGGTATGTACGTAATGATGATGGTGACACTCGGTACAATATCTAGGTGAAACTAATTGACAAGCCTCTTTGCAACAGAGAAATATTTGTCAGTGAAGGCGGCTTGAGATTCTTCCAAGGTTATTGGCATAAGCATTCTCGTCATGTTTCCAGTCTTCCTGTCGTGCAAGGCTATGCAGTTCAGTGCAGCAAATATATCTTCCAGGATTCACAGCTCAAACTGAATGCAATGAAAGCACAGAGATTGACCCGTCACAAACTATGATCACCAAGTCTGAATGGCTGGACCTGTGTATCTTCCTTGGCGCATATCAAGACTATCTGGTGTTTCTATCTCTGCAAGCCATGCATATTCCTCTTCTTTCCCTTCATTAATATCATCACCATAACTGGTGGCTGTAGAAAATGCAACAATCCACTCATGGTTACTGTTTGCTTCTGAACAAGAGTTTTATAGCTACCACTAACAATTTTTTTGCCAGAGACCAAGAATCACCATTCTGAAGAGTCCAGAAGAAAGAAATAACAAGAATAAGGGAGACAAAAAAAAAAACTTACAGAAGCTGGAGTATGGGTAATCAAGGTAGTAAGTACATTTCCTGCCTGCAGCTTCTTGGTAAGGAGGTGCAAGAATGTCAAGCATAGCACAAGGAGTGAGTGCTGTGAAGCAATGCAGATTCCCTCCACTCTTTGGGTATAAGACTGATATATCATGTGGCGCTGTCAGAACTTTATCATAAGCCATCTTGGCTAATCTCACTGCCAAACAAATGTCGAATGTCCATTGGAACTCATACAATTGATTCATATATGTCAAGTCCAACGGTTTTGAGGATAGCCCCATCCCTATTAGTGGGCGAGGCCAAGCACCAGCAAGTTGGATGAAGCTTAAAATCTCATTACGGGGTATCAAAGCTGATTTTGACAACTGAAATAGATTGTCAAGACCAACAAAAAGCATGAACTAATGATGGTCGAGAATTGCAGCAATAAATCCATGAATTACTAGGACTTCGTCTTCCATCATACGAACATCACTTGCAACAAAGCCTTAACACCAGAAAAAATAACAGTATCATTTTTTTTATTGGGGTTGGGTTTTTTTTTTTTTTTTTTTT